AAAAAAAAAAAAAAAATCTGTCATGATCAAAGCAGACGCGTACCAAGATAACTTGCAAAATAATCAACCTTATCAATTTGTTTTAAAGCCACAACATTCAGTTTTTCCGCCTTTGACCGCTCTTCATCATTTAAGTCACAGTGAACCAACTCATCATTAAAGCTGATCATCTGCAAGTGGTATTTTTTCGCAGAGCCCTTATAAACGCTCAAGCAAACCTGTAAAGTATCGCGGAATTTTGAGCAAGTAAGGAATCGTTTCCAAAAAAATTCTTATAAATTTTACAAATGGTAACGGAATTAAAATGTTCAAAATATTATCTTATAGACTATTAATACCTTTGGAAAATCGGCATCACTCCCTGCTGAATAAACTATTTGAAAGGGCATAATTGGAAATTGCTGTATCCTAATCTCGACAGTTTTCAGAATTAAGAATTTTGCCAAAGGATCATACCACTGGAAAAGAATAACAGCGGACGGCGTAGCACAACACATATAAACATTTCCATTGATGCCACTTCTCGCTACACTGCATTGAATAGTATCCCTGAAAAAAATATTTTCAAAGCAGCTCCTTAATTTTTAATAATCACATAAGAAAGCGAATCAAAAGATATTATCATTAAAAAACGTAATTTAAAGAAAATGCAAAAGAAAAAAGCATATGTAATATGTAGAAGAAACTTTGTTTCCGGGATTCGAACAGTTATCGCTAGCCTCTTAGGCACATATTTTTCTGGCAGCTTATTCATGGGTTTAGAGATCTTTTGGGTGAGATTACGCTGCGTCAAAGCAATGAGGTCATGACGATACAAATATGGTGTCCGACCTAAACAAAAAATAGATATTTAAAGTGCGTTGGTAAAAAAATAAAATCTAAATTGTTCCTAGACAGACCAGCGATATTTGAAAATAAAATTAACTGCTTGGAATGAACAGAAGAAAATGAGAAAACAGCTTCTAACGATACAGATTATCAAACTTGCAAATATTAAAAAACACCATATATATTCATCAATGAATAGAACACAAACCCTGAACAGCCATTAACACATTTTTTTGAACATGTAACCATGAGCATCTCCTTTTGTGAATGAGAACCATAGTTGCATCATGTAACTCATCCATATCGAGAGAAAATATCCCTTCTTCAGCTCCAACCATAAGAAAATGTCGAGAAGTACTAGGATTTGCCCATGAGGCTGTACTATTAACATGTAAAGGGCAGTCATGGAATATCACAGAAAAACAAGCCCCCATTGGAACCTTAAAAATTGCTGAATATAAAAAAAAGCCCTTCCGTGCCGACGACAGATGCCAATACGACAAAATAATAAAAAAAATTCAAGAAATTCTAGTGAAAAAAGATGTTTAAACAAAAAACTGGTTCAAAAAATTTGTAAAAAATTAGGCTACAAAAGTACAGAAACCTTCGGTGTGGGTGGCAATCCAAAACAAGTTGCAGGTCTCGGAAGAGCAGAATTTGCGCATTCAGGTCGACAATTAACTTTACCGGCAAAGGAGGGCGCAGAACTGTGTGATTCTAAAGATGACGATCTTTTTGTCGTTCGTTTCGTTCTTGGTGGCCTTTGAGGCAAATTAAAGGAAGATCCTTAACTAGTAAAAAAAAATAAAATGGGATTAAGAAAATATGTGCATTAATGAAGAAAATTGAAAAGCTCCTAAAGTGACAAAAGTATAAGAGGCTTAACATAACAATAATCAGAAATTACTACAAGTCTTTTTACTTAAAAAAAAACAGGAACATTTGCAGGATGTCCCATAAGAAAAACCGCTCCTTCGATTGGCCTTAAAATGAAAACACATGTCTTTTGGTACAATCGCGCCGTCAGCAAAAACTTTTGTGTGAAATACACAAAAAACTATAATACTACCTTCAGCACCATTTTGTTCCATTGCTTTTAACGTAGTATCCTTCAAATCATCTTCATTTATTACTCCGTCGTTATCATCTAGAAGTGACATAGCCTGAACAACATCCGGAAGCGGTGGATGCTCCTTAGCAGGCAATGTCCTATCCTAGAAAAAGCTGTGATATAAAACGGAAGTTATTTACAGAAACGCTACTGTGCCACGTTCAGAAACCTTTGCTCCCAGTTTATTTAGGAGAACTTTATTAACTTGAAGCTGGTAAAAAGAGCAATTTGAAAATTTCAAAAAGCGTGGTAAAAAAGACTAATATAATGTAATAAGATATAAAAACCATCAAAATAAAAGAAAAAACTCCTATGAACTTCAACCTTCAAGTAGTTTGAAACAGGCCCAACCTCGTGGTACCGCTGCCGCAATTTCGCTGATGAAGAAACATTAGTTGAACTGTCACTCCACAATCCTCCCATCAACTTGTTAACGTCATCACAAATTCGAATTGCTTCATTTTTTACAGACAGATCCGCAGCCTTCCGAGACTCAATGCGAGAAAGCGCATGAGAAGCCTAAATATACACTAGCCAAAGCAACTTCTCTCGTTTCAAATTAAACAGCAGTAATTATAGACTGGTTGAATAAAGTCAAAGAAATAATCACAGAAAGATTTAAATTTCAGAAGATTTGAAACATAAGATTAAGAAATAATGGAAAACCGATAGATCTTCGTCATCCTCGATGTCATTCTGCGAAAGAAAGTGTTGTGACAGAAATGAAGAAGACCCCCCAGGATTATTCACTTTATCCAATAGATCTCGTGTCATTCGAGACGACAATGCCCCCAGTACAAAATGATGTGTCTGAAATGCAATGAAGATAATGTAGTTGCTGGGGGTGATGAAGTAATACATAATATTTTTCAGTAAACAATATTTTCTTGATCGTGTTGTAGAAAAGCAAAACCAAAAATTTTTGCTTACCGCTAACAGTTTTTCTGGAGTTGGTCTCTTTTTCGGGTTTTTTGTTAAGCACTGCTTCACGAAATCATGAAAGAATGGGGACCTAAAATATTGGTACTACAAAAAATATATTAAATATTATTTTAAACGCACTCCCAGCTACACAACCTACGATTCAAAACTGATAAGTGTTTCCTTCTGCAATCATTAAATACAACAAAACCTTCCCCTGAAAAATCACTGCGGCATCGCTTCAACCAAATATTTATGCTTAATTGTAGAATTAAGATAAAAAATAAAATATTTTATCAGGTCCTCACCATTTAACTTTATCTTTTAATGTTGGCGGTTTATATGACGATTTTGTCATCAAATAAAGGACGTGCATAGGATGAAGGTCAAAAAGAGGAGGCTGAAGCTCTGCTAGTTCAATTGCTGTAATCCCAACAGCCCACACATCGCATTGCACCCCGTAACCACCTCTTCTTTCCACACATGCAACTTCCGGTGCCATCCTGCAATTGACAAGAAATAAAAATCAGCAGAAGCCAACAAATTATTCCAAACAAAAAAATTTTTTCACAAAAGCAATCCCCATTAGGCAGTGAAAAAAAAAGCTCGTCAACATGGAATGATGAGACTCTGCAAAACAAATTAAACCCTTCTTGATAACAGTGCAATCCTAGAAAGGCAGCTAGTTAGACGGAAATCATTTAAATCATACCAATACGGAGTTCCTATAAAGGACTTTCGCTTGCCGATTGTTGCTGTTATTTGAGCTGCTA